TGTTTCTCTCTCATCGATGTTTCTGACTCTCTGTCTCTCTCCCTTCCTCTCTGTGAAAAATCAATAAAATATATTTTTAAAAAAAATTTTAGTAAATGGCACAGTGTGGGTTCTGACCTATCAGAAACAGAACTTATCCTGGGGCAGGGTCTTCAGGGTCCAGGAAGGCACTGTCCCTTTAGATCCTGGATTGTGGGACGGACCAGGAGGCCTCAGGAGAAGAGGTGGGGTGGGAGGGGACACTCAGTATCCTACCTCTGAGTTCTCCACTCTCTAGGATCCCAGGAACCTCAGCTCTTCCATTCTTGTTTTCTCTGAAGGATGTCTGGGTTTCTACCACCTCCCAGCCCAGAACCAAGAGCCTGGACCCCCCCGGGCAGCCCCCTCTCCCAGGCCTGCCCTTTACCTGCCTGGCTTGTCCCTGCAGGCCTGCAGGCGTGCGCGGACCTCATCGTACGTGAGGAAGGCCATGTAGCCTGGGTGGTCGACCGCCAGAAGCTGCCAGTTCCTGAGGAGTGTTGGCCACGGCTGGAGAGGGTGGCGCTGGGTCAGGGAGGGGCCGAGGGAGCAGCCCCCTCTCCTGGTGCTTCCTGGGGTCCAAGCACCCAGCTGAGGGAGGAGGGGCTGGGGCTGGACCCCTGGGTCTGAGGGAGGAGGGGCTGGGGCTGGACCCCTGGGTCTGAGGGAGGAGGGGCTGGGGCTGGACCCCTGGGTCTGAGGGAGGAGGGGCTGGGGCTGGACCCCTGGGTCTGAGGGAGGAGGGGCTGGGGCTGGACCCCTGGGTCTGAGGGAGGAGGGGCTGGGGCTGGACCCCTGGGTCTGAGGGAGGAGGGGCTGGGGCTGGACCCCTGGGTCTGAGGGAGGAGGGGCTGGGGCTGGACCCCTGGGTCTGAGGGAGGAGGGGCTGGGGCTGGACCCCTGGGTCTGAGGGAGGAGGGGCTGGGGCTGGACCCCTGGGTCTGAGGGAGGAGGGGCTGGGGCTGGACCCCTGGGTCTGAGGGAGGAGGGGCTGGGGCTGGACCCCTGGGTCTGAGGGAGGAGGGGCTGGGGCTGGACCCCTGGGTCTGAGGGAGGAGGGGCTGGGGCTGGACCCCTGGGTCTGAGGGAGGAGGGGCTGGGGCTGGACCCCTGGGTCTGAGGGAGGAGGGGCTGGGGCTGGACCCCTGGGTCTGAGGGAGGAGGGGCTGGGGCTGGACCCCTGGGTCTGAGGGAGGAGGGGCTGGGGCTGGACCCCTGGGTCTGAGGGAGGAGGGGCTGGGGCTGGACCCCTGGGTCTGAGGGAGGAGGGGCTGGGGCTGGACCCCTGGGTCTGAGGGAGGAGGGGCTGGGGCTGGACCCCTGGGTCTGAGGGAGGAGGGGCTGGGGCTGGACCCCTGGGTCCCTGGGCAGGGGCAGGGGCAGGATGGGGCCCTAGGGCCCCGGGGACAGTGCTCACTCACCGGGCTCCGCAATGCTCTCTCCAGAAGGCGTGGGCTTCGGTCTTGGTGAGCTGGTATGTGTGTCCACAGTACTTTCCCCCGGGGAAGAGCGCGCTCAGCTCTGAGTACATGTAGCTGAAGATAAGGGCCAGCTTGGCCAGCTGTCGCCTGTGGGGATGGGCTCTGAGCACCGGCTGAACCCTGAGGCTCCCACGGACACCTCCACCCTCTGCAGAGAACACCCACAGGCCCCAGCCTCGGAGGCAGCGGGGAGGGTGAAGTCGGTTCCAACACTGTCTGCTGCGGCCCTGACGCCCCCTCCCAGAGCCTCTGCTTCCTCCTCCGGAAGGAAAGGCATGCGGCCCGGTGTCCTCAGCCTCCACGTGCAGAGCCGGGGCCAGAGGAGAAGCCTCCCTCGTTGCTCCCGGGGACACTAGGGCCGAGGGCATCGTGTGGTCTGCCAGCAGGTCTTGCTCGGAGACTTCCTCCAGGTTTGAGCAGCACTGGGGGCGGCCCTGCTTCCTCCTGCGGCCGCTTCCCCGAGGAACGGATCAGGATGTGGGCAGCAGCAGAGGGAGTCTGACACCTAGCTCCGTGACTTTTGACAAATTCCTTTTTAAAACATATACCGGTATATATACATCAACGATGGCCCTCGCTGGTTTGGCTCAGTGGATAGAGTGTGGGCCTGCGGACTGAAGGGTCCCGGGTTCGATTCTGGTCAAGGGCACATGCCCGGGTTGTGGGCTCCATCCCCAATAGGGGGAGTGCAGGAGGCAGCCGATCAATGATTCTCTCTCATCATTGATGTTTCTATCTCTCACTCCCTCTCCCTCTCTGAAATCAATAAAGATAAAAATAAAAAATATAAAGAAATATCAATGGTGAGAGAGAATCATTGATCAGCCGCCTCCTGCACATCCCACACTGGGGATTGAACCCACAACCCGGGCATGTGCCCTGACCAGGAATCAAACCGTGACCTCCTGGTTCATAGACCTCCTGGTTCATAGATCAATGCTCAACCACTGAGCCACACGGGCTGGGCTTGGCAAGTTCCTTTATTTCCCCCCTAAGCCTCAGTTTCCCAACTTTGAAATGGGCATAAGTACAGCCCCTCCCTCACAGGGGGAGTGATGAGGATTCTTACAAGCACATAAAATGCCTAGCACACCCAGCACACATTCGGCAGTCAGAGCACATTAATTTTTTGTTAATTCTCACCTGAAGATATTTTTTTTCCTATTGAATTTTAGAGAGCTTGGAAGGGGAGGAGGGGGGGAGAGAGAAACATTGGTGTGCGAGAGACACATTGATGGGTTGCCTCCCACCATCACCCTGACTGACCGAGGCTGGGTATTGGACCTGCAACCCTGGACTGGGACTCGAACTCGTGACCTTTCAGTGCTCAGACCAAAGCTCTAACCACTGGGCACACCAGGGCTTTATACTGAATTTTACAGAAATTCAACTCTCCCATATATCCAGGGAAGACTGACTCAGCAACAGTGACTCTCCTCGCGTGCAAGTGTCTGGCTCATCAATCCTGCCTTGCAGAATAATTGTAATTGTGCCTTGGCATTTCCATTAGAAATGTCGGTAATTTTATTATAAAGAACATTCTTTTTATCACTTCCTTATAATAAAATTTGGGGGCCTAGACTCCTGGTTTGAAGGAGGAGGGGCTGGAGGCCTGGAATCCTGGTCTGAAGGAGGAAGTCCTGGGGGCCTGGACTCCTGGGTCTGAGGGAGGAGGGGCTGGAGGCTGGACTCCTGGGTGTGAGGGAGGAGGGGCTGGGGGCTGGACTGCTGGGTCAGAGGGAGAAAGCGGGGGAGGACCCCTGGGCTGAGGGAGGAGGGGCTGGACTCCTGGGTCTGAGGGAGGAGGGGCTGGACTCCTGGGTGTGAGGGAGGAGGGGCTGGGGGCTGGACTGCTGGGTCAGAGGGAGAAAGCGGGGGAGCACGACCTGGGCCTCCCGGGTGATCCCACCGTAATGGGACCCCCGCTCACCTGAGCATGGACCCCTCTCGGAAGAGCTCGTCGCTGGCACTCCTATGGCCCCGGGGCGGCAGGAGCGCTGCCACCTGCCTGCTCTTGGCCTCCAGGTTGGCGAGGTAGAGGACGAGGAAGTCAGCCCCCCCCCCGGGACTCTC